CGAGGCTCGTCGCGCTCGCTCAGCAGGGCCCGCTCCAGCAGCGACTCCGGCGGCGGTGGCGGCGGCGGCGGCGGCGGCGGCGGCGGCGGCAGCGGCGCCCCCGGCCCCGGGCCCGAGCCCGGCTCCGAGCGAGGCCACGGCGCGCACGGGAAACGGTGAGCGGCACGGCCCCGGGGCCCGCACGGGGCTCCCCTCCCCCCCCCGAGCTCTGCCGCCCCCCCCCCCCGCCCCTCTGACCACTCTCCCTGCCCCCAAAGATCCCCCCTCCCCCCTCCCACTGACCCCTCTCCCCGCACTGACCACTCTCCCTCCTTCTCAGTAAGCTCTCCCTTCCATGATCACTGCCCTCCCCGCCCCCGCCCGACCATGGAGCACCCTTCCCCACCCAAGGATCCCTCTCTCCCCCTCACCGGCCATTCTCCTTCCCCACTCCCTGAGATCCCCCCGAACCGATCGCTGTCTCCCCACCAAGGAGCCCTCCCTTCCCCACACTGACCACTCTCCTCCCCAACAGAGTCCCACCCCCGTGATTCTCCTCGCATCCAGGAGCACTCGCCTCCCTCACTTGACCGCCCCCACTGATCACTCTCCCTCGACACCACGGAACACTCTCTTCCACACTTATGTCACTACCCCACGCCCACCCCTAGCCCTTTTCCCTCCTCTGGGAATCTAGTCCCGCTCCACCAACTCACGCACCACTTCCTCCCCCTCACTAACCCTTCTCCTCATCCACATCTCCTCCGTAGAACTCCTCCCCTACCGAGTCCCTTTCCCTCCACTGAGCTCACTTTTGTCCCTAGCTGAACCCCCTCCCTGTCACCGGCACCCCTTTAACCCCACTCCGCCACCCCACCCCACCCCCGCCCAGCCCACTGCCTCCCTAGCTGACTGAGTCCCTGTCACCGCGCCCCTCCTCCAGGACCAAGGAGCGGCCCCCGCGCGCCCGGCCGGCCAGCACCTCCCCGTCCCCGGGCGCGCACGGCAGGCACGGCGGCCCGGAGGGGAAGAGCTCGTCGCGCAGCCCGGGCCCCCACCCGCGCTCGTGGAGCTCCAGCCGCTCGCCCTCCAAGTCCCGCTCACGCTCTGCGGAGAAGAGGACCCGCAGCCCCAGCCGCTCGCCGTCGCCCAAGAAAACCCTGGGCCGGTAAGTGCGGACCCGGGGTCCCGCCGGGCGCAGGGGTGGCGGCGGGACCGGGCCCCGGAGGGTACCCGCCGGGCCGCGTCGCTCACCTCGGCCGGGCCCGCAGGGACAAGGACGGCGAGGGCCGCGCGAGGCACGCCGAGGCCGAGGCCGCCCGCGCCCGGCGCCGCTCCCGCAGCTACTCGCCCATCCGCAAGCGGCGCCGGGACTCGCCCAGCTTCATGGAGCCACGGCGCATCACCAGGTACGGAGGGGCCCGGCCGGGCCCGCAGGGACCTCCTGGGGGACGCACTGAACCGGGTGCAGGCAGGGGAGGTGGGGTTCAGGAGAGGGAAGAGGGCCTGGTGAGGGCTAGAGGCCCCTGGAGGATGAGAGAGGCTAGAACTGGGGGTGCTGGGGAGGGTGGGACTCAGAGGCAGGGGTCTGAAGGCCCACGGAGGGGAGGGGGGCTGTGTACTTGGGTCTGAGTGGGCAGCAGCAAGCATGGAGTTCAGCTCCAGAAGATTCCAGCCATCCTCCTGGAGCCCCTCCCTCTCTCCGTGCTCCCTACATCCATCTCCTGGCAATGATGTCTCCTTTTCTCCTTCATCTCAAGGTCCAGCCTGCCGAGTGGCCTGTGGCCGGCCTGGGGGCCGAGTGGACCCCCTCCCCACAGGCTGCAGGGGAGATGCCCATGTGAGCTGATCTGGCTCTGTTCAGCTGTCATCTGTCTGCCTCTCATGTTGTCACTAACTTCACTCCGCTCACCTCCCAGCGCAACCCCCCCCCCCAACCAGGGGGCGGAATTCGGAGGAGGGGGCACCAGCAGCCTGCTCTCTGGGGCAGCTGTGGGAGGGCCTGTCCCTTCCACTCTCCCCTCCCCCCACCCCAGTCCAATGGGGCTGTGGGGAGTGTGTGGCAGATATGGCAGAAGCCACATCAGAGAGCTTCTCGGCCAGGACTGGAGGGTGTGGGCCTAGGTCTCCCCATGAAATTATATTGTGTTTGTGGAAACCAGTCCGAAGCCCTAGATCCCTGACTTGGGATTGAGGGCTACAGGCAAAATTCTGAGCCCAGCTATGCCACAGACCCTGCTGGGCAGCCTTTAGGAAATTGGTGTGCCTCTCTGGGTCTGGGTGTGCATGTCTGAACAATAAGCAGAGCTCCCTGAGCATCTTTTCAGCTCTAACAGGGACTGATTCTCAAACTAGCCCTTCCAAGTCCTTGGTGATGCAGAAAGTGGAGGGAGGAGAGGGCATCGCCTCCTCCCCTCAGCCCAGAGCTAGAGGCCAGATGGCCAGGCTTGGGACACCCCCTAGACAGGCCACACACCTCACCCATATATGCGGAGGGCCCTAGACACCTGGAGCCCTGCACCTTCCACCTGGCACCCCCTCAGCCCCTCTCCCAGGCTGCCTCCTCCTCCCACTAACGTACACCTGTTTTCTTCCTCAGAATTAACCCCACGCCATGGGGCACTGTTGCCCCCTTAACCACTCTCTTTTCTTTTCTCTGGGTCACAGCCTCCTGGCTTCAAACTAACTCCGGGCCGGCGGGAGGTAGCTGAGTGAGAAGGGGCCAGCGGGACTGGGGGTGGGGACGGGGGGGCCATGGGCATGGGCAGCAATGGCCAGGGCTCTCCTCCTTGTTCCCTTGAAGTGACCTGACAAACCGAAACCCTCGATTCTGCGGGGACCAGAGAAGCAGGGCTGGGCCTTATCCACAACCCTTTCCATGCCCAGAAACCACTGCTTAGCTTGGTTGATGTGAGTTGTCTATATTTAAAAGTTTCATTTATTCAACAAATATTTATTGAGCACCTTCTCGGGCCAAGCAGAGACTTGGTCTCCTTTCTCTGAAGACAAGTGAGGAAAAACAAAATGACCAACAGGAAATTGGCAAGAGACCACTGACTGTCCAGGCCTTTCGGGGCAGGGGACACTCCAAGGCCAGAGGTCAGGGGAAACTGAGGCAGGGAAGCCCTGGCCACTGCTGGGGAAGGGCTCAGGGCCTGAGTGAGGGCCCAAGACAGAGCTCAGGGACCCGAATGGCCTGTAATCAGCTTTTCCCTCCCGGCAGTGCCCGAAAGCGTCCCATCCCCTACTACCGGCCCAGCCCCTCGTCCTCCTCCAGCTGCCTGAGCAGTGACTACTCAAGCCGGAGCCCCAGCCGCAGCCCCAGCCCGGGCCACAGCCACGGAAGCTACAGCAGCCGCAGCCGCGGGACCCGCAGCCGCACACGCAGCCCCTCCCGGACCCCCAGTCCCAGCTACCACAGCCGGAGCAGCTCAGAGAGTGGGGGCTTCTGAGCCCAGATAGACCCAGCTTGGTGCCCCCTGGCATAGGGAAAGGCGAGGGGTCAGGCCCCAGGACCTGTGAAGGGGCCTGCACCCCACTGCTACAAAGAGGTCCCCGGGCCAGGGAAGACCTTGAGGGTGGGCGCCCTGCAGACGAGGAGGAGCTGGGTTCTGCTGCTTTTGGAGGGTCCCCACCCCCACCTCCTGCCTGCCCACCATGTCCAGGGAACAAAGAGCCGTTGCGAACACAGGGATCACCCTGTCCCCCTTCCTGCTTGATGCCAGCTCACCAGGCTGGGGACAGCTCAGTGGACCCAGGGACACCTCGGAAGGTGCCAGACCTGGGAGCCTCCTCTCCCCTCTCCACAGGGCCCTCGGCTCCTCTCTATCAATGGGCAGACAAGGAGGTGGGAAGGCAAGCAGGATCTAAGTTATCCAGAAGGAAGGATGGTCTAACCCTTGGTGCATCACCATCCAGGCTGGGGAGCTGCTTCCTTCTGAATTGGCTGCACGATCCTGGCTGAGGGCAGGGCAGGAGGCCGGCTCCACAGCCTGCTCCAGCCCCTCCCCTGGCCCAGGAGTACCCAGACCCACTAGGTGGGCCCCTAAGCCCCAGCCTGAGGAGCCAGGGAGCTCACTCTTGGTCGCACCTCTTCTCTCTAGGCCAGGCCTTCCCCTTCAGCCCTCACCCCATGCCCTGAGCCAAGGCCACAGCTGCCAGGCCTTCTGCATGACAAGAGGTGGGACATTGGGACCACACTGCATCTGACCTTGAGGTCAAAAGGGGTTCAGGTCAGGAGGTGGGAGGGAGAAGGGATAGATGGAAGAAGAGCCTGTGAGGAGCAGGGGAGAGCAATGCAGTCCGATGACCGAGCAAGCCCTGGTGTCCCAGTGTGCCCCATATCTGGGACATAGGCCCGATGGCAGCACAGGGTCACCGGCATGGGATAACATGCACTTCGGGGCCTGCCCAAGGGAGCACTTCCCTCTCGGGGTTTGGTGGGGAGGTGGTCAGTGGAGGCTACCCAGAGAAGAGTGCTAGAGCCCTTTGAAGAAAGGGTTATGGTTAGATCTAGACTGAGGGCCTTGGCCTGGGGCATCGATGGGGAAGCAGTGGCCCCCCCCCCCCCCGCCCAGCCCTCTTCTGCTGCTCCCAGCCCACTCCTCCTGGGGCCCTCAGGGATCTCACAAAGTCTTCCTTGGCCCAACAGGGCACCTGCCCTGGGCTCCCATGGGGGGAGGGGTCTGGGGTCTGGTCCGGGTTCCCCCTCTATTTCCCCCTCCCTCTTTCTCCGCGGTGCGGATAAAAATTGGACTCTAATAAAACACTTGGTGCCCGGATGACAGGTGGTGAGACCAGGCCTCTGTGGATTTGGGCACCTGCGGAGTGTGGGGAGGGCATAGGGTCCTGGGGTCCTTCCCTCCGAGAAGTGGGAGGGGCGCAGACTCCACCCAAGACAGAAGATCTGGCACCAACAAGCCAGAGCCCAGTGTGTCCATCCCCCTGCCTCAGTGCAGGAGCAGAGCATGCGGCTCAGTGGGGAGGAAAACAGGGACCCAGGAAGACTTTCCTTTCAGCCTGCAGACTCTGGGGGCTTTGAACATCCCCACTTCCCTCAACCCCCACGCCCCACCTAGCTTCCTCTCCCATCATTGTCCTTGACTCCGATACACCCCAGTCCAGCTGACCTGCCTCCTTGGGCCCTCCATGCATGACCTCTCCACCACCAAAGGTTCCGGTGAGCTCATGGTTCAAGACCTAGCTCAGCTGCCTCCTACTCCAAGGAGGCTTCCTGGTCCCCAGCTACAGTGGCCACTCTCACCTCTGGGTCTCTCCCGCTTTTCCGGGTCTATACCTGCCTTTAGGGTCCCAAGCTCTTGTACGGCTTATTTGTGGGCATGTCCATCTCTCCCTAAATCTGTGAGTTTCTGGAGCCCAGGCCGTGCCTTCTTGGCCTCTGCATCCCATCCCCCAAATAGGCACCCTTGAGATGTCTGTCAAATGAGTAAACAAGTGAACTGGGGAGCCAGGGAGTGAGCGGGTCCAGAAGCCTTGGGGGAGGGGAGGGACCAAAGGCAAGGTGTGGTGGTGGCAGATAGACACTAGAGGGCAACAGAGAGGAAGAAAATTGCCTGTCAGCACTGAACAGGCCGGAATGGAGAGCCCTGGGCAGAGGTTCTATGTCAGCCTGGAAACCCAAAGCTCCTGTCCTCAGCGCCCATCCTGGCTACTTGGAGAAGCAGTGTCCAATTCCTGAGGAAGGACTGGGAGAGTACCAAGCCCCTGCCCTCCCACAGAATGAGGGTTCAGCCTGAACTCTGCCCTAGACCTTGGGAAAAGGGGAAAACTACCTCCAGGAAGGCAAGCAGGAAAACAGGAAACTCCAATTCTGCATCTGGTAGCCAGGGGTGGGGGGGATGTGTGCATGGGGGAACCTTCCCAGGATGTGGGCCTTTGGGGTGTCATATGCAGGTCCTCTCCTGGTGTCTCTGCAGATGGGGGCCTCGGGGACCCTTCTGTCCTTACCCTCCCAATACACACAGCAGCCGGGAGTCAGGCTGGGCAGGGCTTCCTGTGTCCTCTTAGGTATTTTCTCTTTTCCTTAATTGGTTTCCTGCAGCCCCAGACCCAGGGTAGCAAGTCAGTGCACACCCCCAGTCTGGGTGTCCCAGGGAGCATCTCCCATCCCCTGCCTCTCTGAGATGGTCTTGGAAGCCCCCTGGCCTCCCACCGGCCAGTGAGTGAATATGCTGAGGGCATATTCAGCAAACCTGCCCTACCACCAGACACTTGCCCTTCCTTCTCCAGGCCCCTCGCCACTCAAGGACAACCAAGACACGAGAGTGCTCTAGCCATAGGGCCTCCCACCTCCACAGCCACCACAGGGGATGCCAGATCCTCCCTCACCACCTCCCTCCACTCACCATACACACACCCCTCCAGGAGTATTAGATGGCAGAGTGGGCAGTGCCGACGGCCGGGGGTGGGGGGAGTGAGGGCGAGTGGAGGAGAAACTGTTGATTCACTATGCTGGAAGGAGCCTTCGAGAACATCCAGTCCAATGGTCTCATTGTACAGATGAAGAAAATGAGTCACGGGAGCCGGCTGCTGGCCAAGGTCACAGAGCCAGAGACAAGCAGGTCCCCAGACTCCCAAGCTAGACAGATTCTTTCTGCTAGACAGTGGGGCGGCGGGGAGGCCAGCCCTCCCCACACGACCCCTCCTTGGCCCCCCTTTAGTGGTGAGGGGGTGAGGTGACACCCAAGACTAGCCAGAAGCCTAGGGGATGGGCAGGCTGAAGAGGGACTCCCAGAGAGGCAGTGTCTAGATGCTTCCAGAAAGACCTTGTGCCCCCCACCCCCATGTGCTCTAATTACTGCTGCCCACATTTTTAATTCCCAGTAAACCCAGTGACTGGCGCAATCCATCAGCTGTCAGGTCTCTCCAGGGAGCTCGGGCAGCTGCCTGAAGACTCTCGCGTTTTCTCTGAGGCTGAGCCAGGGAGGGAGGGGCTGGCTCAGCCGCAGTTGGCAAAGGCCTGTCAAAGGTGTGGCTACTGTGGCCAAGGCCTGGCGCTCCCTGCCAGACAAGGAGGCTGGGAGGCTGGTCTCGGGCTGCCGCAGAGTACCGCAGACTGTGGGGCTAGGGACGAGGAGAGGGGCCCCTCTAATTAAGGGACCCCAGACCCAAGCTTGCCTCCCCCATCACTGCACCTGTGGCTACTGGGAAATCCCTGGGGGTGGAGTTGTCTTCTTAATCCCAGAAATACTAGCCCTGGCAGCTCAGTGCCCAGAATGATAGAGTGGAAGACTGTCAAAGAACACTTCGGCAGGTGGGCAAGTGGGGGCTGACATCCAGCCCTTGCTCCTCTTGCCCTGTGCCCGAGCAACCGGGGTGCGACCTCCGGGAAGGGTGCATGGTCAGGGCTGGAAGGGACTCGAGAGAGGCTGGCCCAACCTTCCCTGCCCCTTGGCCGCACACCTCCCCCTGCGCCCACCAGCCCAGAGCCCACAGCCCACCCTGGACTGCTTAGGAAGTCTCTCCCCTGCTCAAAGAGAGTCAGGACGCTTGAGTTCCGATCCCTCCACCCGCTTACCAACTTTGTGACCTTGGGGCAGTTCCAGCTCAGTTTTCTCATCTCAGAAATGGGACTCTGAGAAGATACTTAGACCTGCCATAAAGTGCATACAACTGCGTGATTCTTATTAGCCTAAGTAAGTCTCAGTACCCAAAATTAAAGGCCCTCTTTCCTTAATAAAGGTGAACACTTACTGAGCACCAAGCACTCCTCACACATTATTGCATTTGAGATTCACCACAACCCCAAAAGATGGGTGTGTTATTACTACCCACGTTTTGCAGATGGGGACAGCGGGCTCAAGGAGGTCACCAGGCCGGTGAACAGCAGCATCCAAGTTCAAGCCCAGCCTGTCTGACCCCAAAACCCAGTTTTTCCTGCAACCCCACCCCCTCTTGCCACCACCCAGAGCCACCCATGTTCCCTCCCTTGTGACTGACAAGGTCCCTCAAGAAGCGACCCACTGAAGATGGATATGAAGTCTCAGTCCTGCCTCCCCCACCCACCATGGGCAGAGTGCTGGGAGCTGTTGGGCCCTGGTTTGCACAACTTCCTGGCTGGGAAAGCAGGAATGGACCCTCCCTGCCCTGGCTTCAGGCAAGATGCAGAGAGCTACTAAGGGAGCCTCTGTCTACAAAGGGTTGGCAGGCAAGGCAGCCCGGCACCCCCACCCAAAGCGTGGCTGGGCCTGGCAGGACCACACTTGAAAGCATCCATGACCACACCTGACAGCTCCTGTAGGGTGGGGCTCCTGGACTCCAGTCTGGGCCAAGGTGGGCAAGCAGAGGCGGATGAGAGCCCTCCCTGGCTCCTGACCTCACCTCGACTTTATAGAGCTGGGAATGGGTGGTGTTGGAAGTGCCAGGGAGCCAAGACCTGGGGCTTGCTGAAGCTGAGACCCTTGGGGCGGGGCGGGGGGGCGCCAGTAGTTCC